TCACAATAATAAATTCGATCTTTCTTCTTTATAAGAGATTATAAAGTATTAAGGGCATTTATTATGTGCATAATTATATGTCTTAATATTTGAGTAAAACTTTAAAGACCAATATTAATATTACATACCCGTCGTTATTCACAACGATTATCTCGATTATTTCATAATTTGATTGGATGATTAGCAAATAAAATCACGAGCTGATCAACAAAATCTAACCAATCACAATGAATGTTCGCTATGCTGGTAAGGCCAATGACATTCTCACTATAGTCGTGTTTTTATTGTAAGTACGTACGTACATAGTATCGATGCGTGTTGTTTCACCAATGCAACATTTGTCACATATACGTATAAATGTTGAATGAATCTAATGAAGTAGAATTATGGCTAAATTCAAGGCGCGCAGAGATTATTAAAAATATTAATTAAAATTAACCATGGTTTGATTATAAATGCTAAAAGAGTGTGCCCTTCAAAATTTTCGGCATATTCACCATGTTCTCAACCTAAAGCTATAAAATTAAATATAACATTAGCTACTCTTTTGAGGCAACGTTAAAATTTTCTACAAAACGATGAGATTATTTTTTGTTTATGAATCATATTGACAACTATGCCCTTAATTTGAAGCATTATGACTGGATATTTGCAATTCCGCCAAAAACCTTTTAATTAATGAGTCGCCTGTCAAAGATGTATGTTTAAAAGTATAATGTTCGCAATTTGAATCAATTGTTGAAAAAGAAACGATAAAACCTTCTAAATAAATAGTTGCAAAAATAAAAGAAGCTTTGAAACATTATAACCCTTATAGTGAATTAATAATGAATGTTTTCGAAGTTTACGGAAAATTTCTTCCTAAAAAGGCTATTCTTGGACATAAATTATATAGTTACTTGTTTAGTTGTAGATGAGAGTTTGCCAGATGCTAACTTTAAAGAAGGAGAACGGACAGCCGATTTTATGACAGAAGAATATAATGATATTTTAAATCAGTGTGAAAAATGCATAGGTTTACGTGGTTTTGATTCGTCTTATTTTGTGTCCGTTGAAGATAAATTAATTATGAAATATGAACTTGAAAAGTGGGTGAAAATTTGCTCAGAAAGCAATTATGAACCATTACAAATAATCAGTTTGAATGAATTATGTCCAATATATGAAATATTTGATGAGTCTCTCTGTCATGAAATTAAATCTATTTTTGAAATAAATTGTCAGCCAGAAAGTCTTAACATAAAAGAAAAGATACTATTTTCTGGAATAATTCCGGTTAATGTCCCGCCTTTTCTTATCGGGTGATTTTCCAGTTAGTTTCGAATCAAATGATTACCAATTATTAATGCTCGATCATAAACTTTATTGAATATAAAAACAGGAATATACATATGGGATTAAGGCTTGCTACCTAACATCAACTACATACAATAGTATTCGAACTACTGAGATCCCGGCTTTAAGGTGGGTCTTTATTAATACCAAATGATAACTTATCTGTCTCTATACTAACAGAATTTAGAGGACTTTTATACATGAGAGATTCATCGAAATATAGCATTTATTAAATGCTACTTTCACATGCGGGATCCTGCGGCTTAGTTTCGGTTCGGGTCGTGACTTTGGGTGGGTCATGGTTACGTTTCTCACATGCCTTCGCTAGCTCACGTTTTTCCCTCTCACAACGTGGCACATCACTATTCCTAATGCCTATACTTCTTGACTCATTTGATCTGTTTTTAACCATTTACCTGGGCGTGCATATTTCGTTTACATTATTGTTGTTCCTAAATTCTATACTAAGTGTACTTTGAGATTATCATTTGGGTGTTTGGTTTTGAGGCTGTCTTTTTGATTTGATATGTAATAGTAAATTTACTTCTTCGGTTTCGAGTTTCACAAATTTCAATCAGTGGGCATGCCCATCCTTATACTGTAATATATATATCAATAGCGATAGTATTAAAAAATGATATTCAATTTACTATGACAGTATGAATTGAAGGAAATGATTTTTTTCATGGTACAGAGAAGTTGTGTTTACTATAAGTATTGTAACTTTATATAGTTTTTAGGGGTTGAGTATTATATAAAAATCAGGCGAATTACTAAAATTGGTCATGAATAAAAATATACGAGAAAAACTAAAATTTATTTTGTAGTACTTGATTTATTTGATGATTTACAAGTTTATGTTTCGATTAAAAAAAAGCTTATAAGTATATGAATTTATGAATATGCGCTATAAATGAATTTATAAAATTTGCGATAAATTTGCTATAAATATCACTACAAATATACACGAAGATTGAAGAACAAGGAACCCAGTGATACAAATGACGTAATTGCATGATTTCACGTGATGTGATGATCACTGGGTTCCTTGTTCTTCGAGTCTCCCTCCTTAATAGTGTTCTAAGTTGGTAAAAATTTTGTCAATCAACTAGTTGTCAACTATAGTTAACTTTATATCATGTGACTAAATTTGTTAATTAGCCAGTCCAATCAAAGAATTAGCATGAGTTAGCCCGAACAGACAGAATGTCTTATAATTGAACTATTTAATGACTCGGTTGTTTAGTTGTTTTTAAAAATTTTCAAATCAACTAGTTGGAAAGTTGTCAACTAGTTGATTTTTCAACTAACGATTTGGATCACTACTCCTTAACATATCAAACACTGCTCTATTTTTTTCTCTTGTGCCTTTTGGATTCTCTCTGATGATCAATTTCGTCCACATCACGACTTAAAGTAAAGTTCGAGCCATTAATTAATTCCAAAATGTTCTTTAAAAATTCACTGAATTCACCCGACATTGAAAAACTATTTAAATCATCATGTAATTTTATAATTTCATTATACCAATCATTCAACTCTAGATCATACCGCTTTCGTTTTTGAGTAAATGTTGAAATATTGTCAATGTCCATGTTATCTGAACAATTGGCAGAAACTTGCGATTGTTGCATAAATAATTTAGTCAAATATTTTCTTAAACCATCAATTATTTCGACATGAGTAGCTTGTTTGATAATTTTCAAGTGCGATGGTTTAAAGAACTTTATAGTACTAAAATAGTTTTTAAATGCATCTTTTATTTCTTTGAAATTATGTTCAAGTTGTTCACTTAAAATATACTTTCGCTGATTACGTTGTTGAATGAAAACATCAACATTGACTCTTTTCATCAAAATGTCTTCAAAACACGAATCTGTAATTTCAGCATCTGCACCAAACTTATTTAATATCCAGCAATAATAAAATGCCGGGAATTTTAAAGGTGCAAGTAGACTGTTATTATTATCATCAGATCTATTTTCAAGATCAAAGTTCATGGCTTTAAAAAAAACTTTTTCATGATCTTTCTCAATCAATGAATACAGGAAATCTAGAACATCAGTCTTTTTTAGCCTTTTGTCCAATCGAAATGTTCGAAATAATTCAATTAAACATTTATGTAATAATTCTTCCAGTGATTCATTCAATATTTGTAAAAATGCCTTTATCATTGTATTTCCAATCTCAACCAATTGTCTTTCAATAAACAATATTTCTACAATAACTGTATAATTCAATTCGAATCCAAACTTTATCAATTCCGAAAGTCGGTTAACTACTTCCTCAGGGTTTGGTGGTGCCCAGTTAGCTGTAGATGCTGGAGAAAAAAGCATAATAATAGCACCTTGCATTACCAATCCATTAATATCTTTACAAATACTGTGATATCCAATCTTAAGCCAATCGGACACCAAATCCGGATAAATCAATATTGCCCTGGCAATTACATTAAGTTGCCTATTATTTTCATAACCATCTTTAGCTGGATATTCTTCGGTTGTGATTTGTTTATTTTTGTTTCTTGGTCGTGGAGGGAAAGGAATGAATTTTTGGACCAATATTAAATCCTTGACCTGATCCAAATTCTTCATCATAATGGCTTTAGCTTCTTTAAGAGCATATGGACCAGCGGATAAAAAGTGAAATAATTCCATGTCATTTCCCTTCAGTGGAAGTCGTGATTCGCCAAATTGTTCTGCGGCCACCCTCAATATATATAAAAAAACAGTGGTTCCCAAGTCATTGGCCCAAGGTATATTTTGTTGAAATGAATTATTATTTGCACGTCCAGAATTGTTATTGTATTCCATTTTTAATGCAACAAGATCTTTATCGAATTTTCCGAAATGTAAAAGAAGACGTTGAACAAAATACCTGGATATTATAGCTTTGTTAGCGATTATAGCTCTAACAACAGCTAGATTGATAAAATTTTGACCAAATTTAATCGCATAGAAAAGTGCATGTGCATGCCCATATTTATAAATAATCCATTTTGCCCTCGCTTGCTGATCGATCGAAATTTTATACCAATGTCTACATGTTAACATTAAATTCAAAGGAGATTCTACATATTGGAAAATTTGTATGGAAATTTCATCTACCAAGCCATGTTGAAAATGTGAAAAAGTAGGTTTATTTTCTATTTGACCTTGAATAGGTTCGATTGGACTTATAACCAGAACTTCATGAAGTTCACAAAAATAAACAATAAATATAATATTTTTTTAAGAGGAGCTTTTTTAAAAAAAATTTAATTATCTGACATAGTATTACAAGCTACATGAAATTACCTGTATATAGTTTTTTATAATTTATTGTATATCCATCAATAAATTTTACTATTAAATAATTGAAATTTTCGGCATTTATTGCATGTTTGAATTGTTTGAGTCGTTTCAATATAAGTTTTTTTCCCTTAATATCACACGAAAACCACGAAAGTAGGTCATGACCATGAAAGTTACATTCGACTTTAGCTGATTTTCTAAAATTTCGTCCACAATATGGATTATGCTAAATCAATGGTGTAAAAAAAAAGGTTATAAAATTCGTAATCTCATAATCTAAGCGTATAGAGACAATAAATTATCAAAAGTTTTCTTTACCTTTTCCAGAGCCTTTTCTGAAGTGAAATTGTCAAATTTTGAACCATTATATTCTCGTATTGTACAATATGATTCATTTGCAACTGATTTCATATTATGAATGTAATAATTATCAGAATAACTGTTAGGCATCGTTAAATTTTTACACTTACGTACCATGAAATGCTGGCAAAGATTAAATAGAAAACTAGCAACTAGCAGTACGTAATAATGATTCGTATATGGAAAGTTAAATGGAAAAATAAATATCCAAAATTTCAATTAGATAAGATGATGGCTGTCAACCGATGCTTCTTTCAATAAGCACTAATTTAGAAATTTGAATAGTTAATTTTAACGTTACAGTAATCGTTAATATAATACTTAAAAAGGGAATTTCTATCATAAAGGTCATACGTAAAGAACTGGCCTGGGTCTTAACCTTATCTGATATTTATGTTACTCATATAACGTATAAAGATCATAATGCATAAACTATCTGTACATCCTAAATTATCAACTTCAATGGCGATAGCGGTCACGGAAATAAGATTAAATTGTGTTACTTAATACGTAGCAACTATTCACGTTTAACCATAAATGGCAATTTCTATTTTTAATGAGTTGCTTTTTGCTATTCAATATAAAAATGATTATGATTTCCATACATAATCATGAGTTTGTTACTTTTATGATGCTTATTCCTGTAACTTCTACAGCTTCTAAGATTTTTGTAACTGTTTCGAACGTTATAATAAGAACTCACAATTGACCCGCTTTGTACAATAATATATATATATTTCAGATTTAGTCCATCATAATAAAAAGTTTGACCATATAATAATGTCAATCTTTGGTGACATTCAAACTTACAACAATGACACATCCGGAATTTAAAGTCCAATTCAGCTCAAATTTGGGCATCTCATAGTGTTAGCACGACCGGAAAATAAGTCTTAATTTATATATATTAACAATAATAAGATTTTTTGTAATGAGTACGTATTACATAGTTTTACTTTTAACTAGTTTTACCGTTAAACGTGAAAAGTGGAGTTAATTCAATTTATGACATACATACTTCATAAGTTGTATGTTTATATATAAATAAACAAAAAAGTAATCCTAAGCTAACTCCGCTTTAGCCGACCCCAAGTTTGGAGTTCTTGTACGTACGTACGGTGCGGGGAATTTAAAAACCTCAATCTCCGTACATAAACTAGCACGTAACTCACTGAAAATAAATTTCTTTTAAATTATCGATCTCAATAGAGAACGGGCATAGAAATAATACTCAAAGATTATCTCAATAGAGTAATGGGTATAGAATAATACTCCAAGATTAATATGCACTTTATAGGAGCATGCGGCTGAAACTTAAAAAAGTCGTTACTGAATTTAGCTTATCTCCAGTGTGCTGGTCGTTATTTGTTCTATATAAAGTGTTTGAGATTTTTGGATTCCCTGTGCTTGCTCTAAATCACTACACATATAAATATCGATATCTGCAACATATACAGTATGAGAACCGGAATTTCAAAGTTAACTCTAATAGAATCTTTAAATTACATGAGTATATAGAAGTCGTTTTTCGAAAGCAGCTATAAGTTAAAATGAAAATTTAAATGCATCCAAGTGATTAAGATTGTTTTCAAGTGGCATCATCAATGTAATTTACTAGTAATCAAAGATATTGCTCAATCATTTCGACTAATTGAGCTTCTAAAGTTGATTCAGAACCTATTTAATAGATAATTAAATTTGCTTTTAAATTTGAATTTTCGCATCGAGAATTATATATTAAAATTTTCCGAAAAAACATTCAATAATTTTATTAAAATTTTAATTAATTGGTAAAATGTTGATTTTATATGTAGTTAGCATGCCTTGTAGTGAAGAAATTATATAAGAATCTTACAAAGTTCATAAAGCGTTTCAAGGCAAGTTTCTAAATTATATCGGATTCTTACAAGCTGTTACATTTGAGTTTACAATATAACTATTTTGATAGCCAATATTTTATAAAGTATTTTTGCTTATGTGTGATAATCAGTATTCGAAATTGGTGTGAATTCATGCACGGTATAAACTTTTTTACTGTTTATATTAAATTTTTTTTGGAACAGTAAAATAATTATCTATAATATGTATTTTCTAATATAGGTTGGTCTGTTTATTTTTGTATATTTTTATTTTTTGTTTCATTAACTTAAAAGAATATTTTGAGAACATTTATAGCTATTACACTGTTCATACTGTGTCATAACGACATGTATTTGATACTTTTTACACATTTATGGTCATTTATTCAAGTTAAAATTAGGGAAATTCGATCAAGCCTTATGGAAAAATTTCAATCGTATTTTGTATGATTTTAAGGACACCTGACTTACACTCAATTCAGTTCCATATTTTTTATATAATCTTGTGAACTTTGTATTCGACCATATCCAGTTTTGATCTTAAAAAAGAAGATATTGTTGAAATTCATTTATCCTTTAATCAAAAAGAATTTTATTAATTGTTGGTCGAGTGAATTTATGGACCAAATATATTAAGTGGAAATTTCACTCTAGTTTGTTTCGATTTATAATCAATGAAAGTTTGATTTCGACTTATGCCTATTACAACTGTTTAAGAGAGCAAAGCACATCAATGCACAGGTTAGCTTTAGCTATAGCTCTCTGTATTGAATTCAATATTATCTCTCATCAAATAAGATGGATTTAAAGTCAATAAAGTTGAAATTTTATAAGAGGTCCATAATTATTCCGATTTTAATTATTATAAGACCCAGTAAGTTTTTTTAAATTTATGAGAGGTACATGATTATTACGGTTTTGATTATTATAAGATCCAGAAAGTTTTTAAACACAAGCTACTTGGATTTGGTTTTTGTGAGTTAATATCCTTTGGCTACGACATCAGCCTATCATAGCTTAACATATGATTGACACTAAAGAAAAATCAGACTTCGAACCTTTTTATTATTTTTATTTATCGTATTCAGTCTTGATGGCGCACATATGATACGTAATAAAATTTGCTTATGTATTATATATGCCATTGATCAGGGTTGAGTCTAGCAAATAATGAATAATAAACCTAAAATCACAAAGTTTGATTTTCTCTTGGTGGCTTCCATTTCAACAAACAATAACACTAGGTGCTAATTTTTTTTATAAAAAAAATTTAAGCAAAGCAATTGGTCAAAATAAAGCATATCATGCAAATATCAGAAATTTTATAGTCTAATGTTTGAATATATATCAAAAATAGATTGAGCTATAGTAAGCTATCAGGTATATAATAGTGTTATATTTCTGATAGTTTACTAATATTTTATCAACTTCTAATAAGTTAGTATATAACTAATTAATACCAATTTTTTAAATAAAATTGTTGGTTTTAAATTTGAATATATATGTTTTATTAGTTGCACTAGATATGTTATGATTATATAGGCACCTTCAAGCAACACTCATATAATATATAATCTTTTACTGATAAATTTATCTTGAAATAAAATATCTTTATTAAACTAAATTTAATAAATTTTTTAATTTAATTTAATTTAGTTTAGTAGTTATAATATTTTAAATTTGTTAAAAAAGATTTTCTCTATTTTACAAATTTTCTTTATTCAGAATTGGTATAAACCAACCATTAGTCAATTTTGACCAAACCAAAATTAATACTAGTCAAATTATATATATATGTTGACAGTCCAGATGTCAATTTACTAAATTTACCTAAACACATGAACTAAATTGATTTTTTTAGATCAATTGACATCTGGGACAATTTTACTTGATAATCACTGATCGTCAAAGGACATGACGAAAGAATACAAAGAAAGAATCGTGAATTCAGCCACTGACAGGCATCACCACATTTTGAATGTGCGCTATGCTTATTTACCATTAGCAATTAGGTAGTTCTGTAGTTAGTAAAGTAGTACTGTACTATTGTACAAATATGTACGAATGTACGATAACTGAGCAAAATTACCAGGAACGGAGTGATAAATCATGAAGTATATGGTTTACCAAAGAAATAAATGGTGTTAAACTTACCAATAAAACCTATGGTAATTTACCAATAAAACCTATGGTAATTTACCAATAAGTCTTATGGCAACTTATCGGTAACTTATCGCAGTTACTTCTATGGTAAGTTACCACTAACAACCTCAAAGAGTTACTTACCTCAATGTTTTCGTAAATTTTTACCGATTCATATATTCTCGTACTAGATAGTAAAATGAATTATTTAAGGCCACGTATGCAAATAATATACAAATATACCAGCCGTAGTTTATATTATACAGTATTCTGAAAGAGACTTCATGAATTCAACCTATACTACATAATTTATGTTTATTCTCAATAGACCATAAGATTTTCAAAATTTCTCGATTATTTGATCCTTTCTAACGATCCTCATCCTAACCGACTGGTTGCATCTTGAGAAACTGTTAACGTTCTCAAATTTCAGCTAAAACCTAAGTCCAAACCTTGTATAAGAATTTTCCACTTCCGGAAGACTCTATCTAAACACTATTCTTTTTCATCTACTGTAATAAACTCCAAATTAATCTCGTTCCTGGTTTCAGCGAGACATGTCGTGCAGATACTAGTTTGATAGTACGTACATTTAACATAGATTTTTGGGGAATTTACATATAAAGGCCCAAAAATGAAAATAATTACGGATGAGGGCATAAAATAAAAATTCTTACATATAACAGTCAAAAATCAAAAATTACTACAAATAAGGGCCTGTCCGATCTCTGAGCTATACTAAGAGACTAAGCTACAAGACTTAAATAACGTCACCCAAAAAAAATAGTAGCCAGGGGTTTTTTTGTCTATCATACTTAATACAGTAATGATAAATATTCGAACTTTGATTTTTATTTTTATATTCGCTTTGACTTTGACTTTCATTTTGATTTCACTTTAATTTCGCTTTGACTCTCCTTTGCTTTGACTTTCGTTTTAACCTACATTTTTGCTTTCACTATGACTTTCGCTTTGGCTTTCGGTTTGACTTTGCCCTTTTCTGACTTCGTTATGACTTTCAAGAATTTTTGCTGTGTTGAATTCACAAAAATATAGTTTTGATCGATCATTTAAATAAGCTATTTAAGT